TTTCTTTTCATTGCCTTTTGTGGTAGAGAGTTTCAAAGACTCATGATCCTCTAAGAGAAAAAAAAATTCTCATCTCCGCCTTAAATGGGCAACCTGTTATTTGGAAACAGTGACCCCTGAATCTAGATTCTCCCACAAAGGAAACATCTGTTCAGCATGGACTCTGCCAAGATCCCTCAGGTTCTTGATATTTTTAATCAACTAATTTCTTGTTTTGCCAAATTCCAGTGGATTCAAACCTTTCCTATTGAGAAAATCTGCCCATTTGAGGTATTAGTGTAGTAGAGTATTGTAGTGAATCTAATACTAATACTCTGACTGTTTTTCACACCAAAGTGTATAACTTCACATTTAGCCATGTTGTACTTCACCTGCCATGTAATTTTGCACTCACTCATCTTGTCTAAATGATGCCTCCTTGCATTCTCCTTATAACTTTAAATCCTGCCTAGTTTTGTTTCAGCAAACTCGGAAATGTTGCATTTGGTTCCCACATCCAGGTCATTTATCTATAGCGTGGATATAGCATGGATCCTTGGGTACGCCACTGGTTACTGGCTGCCAATTGGAAAAATTCTCATTTTATTCCCACTCTGTTCCCTGTCTGTCAACTAATTCTCAATCCATGCCAATACACTACCGCCTATCCCACGTTCTTGAACTTTTCCCACTAACCTCTTATGTGGGACTTTATTAAAAGCCTTCTGAAAAATCAAATACGTGGCCTTATCTATTTTACGAGCTGCATTCTCAAACATGAAGCATGATTTGTCTTTCATAAATCCAGGTTGCTTTTGTCCAATCCTGTTAATGCTTTCCAAATGTTCTGTTATCACATTATTTATAAGACTCCAGCATTTTCTCCACTACTGATGTTAAGTTAACTAGTCTGTAAATCTGCTTTTTCGCCCTCTCTTTAAATAGCAGGGTTACGTTTACCTCGCCCCAATCTGTAGGAATTATTCCAGAGATAGAATTTTGAAAGATGACCACCAATGTATCCAATTATTCCAAGGTCATTTGTGTTATTACGCTGGGATGTAGATTATGAGGCTGTGCTGATTCTGTTAACCTTTAACCCCATTGGTTTGCATAACATTGTTTTCTTGCTAGTATTGTTTTCCTTCAATTCTGCCCTTTCACTAGCCACTTGGTTTTCTAACATTTAGAATCATACAATCATAGAGATATATAGCACAGAAACAGACCCTTTAGTCCAACTTGTCCATGCCGACCAGGTATCCTATATAATCTAGACCCATTTGCCACCATTTGGTCCATGTCCTCTAAACCCTTCCTATTCATATACCCATCCAGATGCCTTTTAAATGTTGTAATCGTACCAGCCTCCACCACTTCCTCTGTCAGCTCATTCCATATATGCACCACTCTCTGCGAGAAAAAGTTTCCCCTTAGGTCCCCTTTATATCTTTCCCCTGAGGTTGTTGACTTGCTCGCCCGACTGGCTTGTTTTCATTCAGACGTTTCGTCACCATGCTAGGTGACATCATCAGTGGAGCCTCCGATGAAGCGATGTTATTCTACTCCACTTGGAATTTATACTGTCTGGTCCGTTATGGTGAGTAATGTCATTTCTGGTTTTGATCTGTATGGGTTTGTATATGGGGTCCAATTCTGTATGTTTGTTGATTGCATTACGGGTGGAGAACCAGGAGTCCAATTCTGTATGTTTGTTGATTGCATTACGGGTGGAGAACCATGCCCCTAGGAATTCCCGTGCATGTCTATGTTTGGTTTGTGCTACTATGGTTGCCTTGTCCCAGTTAAACCAATGGCCTTCATTGTCTGAGTGTACCGATATTAAGGAGATTTCGTCGTGCCGTTTTGCTGCTAGCTAATGTTCAAGTGTTTTGATGGCTAGTTTCCTTCCTGTCTGTCCAATGTAATGTTTGTGGCAATCGTTCATTGGTATTTTGTAAACCATGTTGGTTCTGCATGTTGTGGGAATGGGGTCTTTAATCCTTGTGAGTGTTTATCATAGAGTGGCTATGGGCTTGTGTGCCACCATGATTCCTAGTGGTCTTAGGAGTCTTGTTGTCAGTTCAGATATGTTCTTGATGTCGGGCAGTGTGGCCAGTGTGTTAGGGCATACTGTATCCTCCTGTTGTTGTCTGTTTAGTAGGCATCTGAGGATGAAGTTGTAGGGATATCTGTTCATAACAAGGATTTTGTGTAGGTGCTCTTCCTCTTTCCTGCGTAGTTCCGGAGTGTTGCAATGTGTCCTGGCCCATTTAAATAGTGCCCTAATGCAGCTTTGTTTGTGGATGTTGGGGTGGTTGCTGTGGAAGTTGAGGATTTGATTCATGTGGGTTGCTTTTCTGTGTACTGAGGTTTGGAAATCCCATTGGTCATACGCTCAACTTTAACATCCAGAAATGAAAGTTGATTGTTGTTTTCTTCTTCCCTTGTGAATTCAATCCCTGAAAATACGTTGTTGATGAGGTTGTGGGTCTCTTTTGGTTTGTTGCATTTAATAATGACAAATGTGTCGTCTACATCCTGGATCCACACTTTAGGTTGATTGTGGGGGAGGGTGGTGTGTTCTAGTCTTTGCATGACTGCTTCTGCAATGAGTCCTGAGATGGGTGACTCCATTGATGTACCGTTGATCTGTTTGTATACTTGACCATTAAAGACGAAGTGTGTGGTGAGGCACAGGTCTAGTAGTTTAAGTATTGCTAATGGAGCTGCTGGTCTGTGTTGCTGCTTCTTCTAATAATGTGGCCACTGGTCCTTTGGCTAGTGGGATGTTGAATGATGTGAATAAAGCTGTGACGTCAAAGGATACCATAATCTCCTCATCACTGATTTTTATGTTCTTTTCCCTCTCACCTTAAACCTATGCCCTCTAGTTTTGGACGCCCCTACTCCAGGGAAAAGACCTTACCTATTTACCCTATCCATGCCCCTCATGATTTTATAATCCTCTATAAGGTCACCCCTCAGCCTCCGACACTCCAGGGAAAATAGCCACAGCCTGTTCAGCTTCTCCCTAAAGTTCAAACCCTCCAACCCTGGCAACATCCTTGTAAATCTTTTTCTGAATCCTTTCTAATTTCACAACATCCTTCCTACAGGAGGGAGACCAGAATTGCACGCGATACTCCAAAAGTGGCCGAACTGACGTCCTACACAGTCACAACATGACCTCCCAACTCCTATGCTCAATGCACTGACCAACAAAGGCAAGCATACCAAACACCTCTTCACTATCCTGTCTACGTGCAACTTCACTTTCAAGGAACTATGAACCTGCAGTCCAAGGTCTCTTTGTTCAGCAACCCACCTCAGGACCTTAAAATTAAGCGGAGAAGTCTTGCCTGATTTGCAGCACCTCACATTAAGTGAAATTAAACTCCATCTGCCACTCCTTGGCCCATTGGCCCATCTGATCAAGATCTGATTGTACTCTGAGGTAACCTTCTTTACTGTCTGCTACACTTCCAATTTTGGTGTTATCTGCAAACTTACTAATCTTATTTCCTTTGTTCACATTCAAATAATTTATATCAATGCCGAAAAGCAGTGGGCCCAGCACCAATCCTTGTGGCACACCACTCGTCACAGGCCTCCGGTCTGAAAGTTAACCCTTCACCACCACCCTCTGTCTTCTACCTTTTGAGCCAGTTCAGTATCTAAACGGCTAGTTCTCCCTGTATTCAAACAGCGATAAAAAGCTAGCAAATGGATAAAATGAAAAGATTAAATAAAAGATTATACTGGTAAATGTAAAAAAAGTTTAACATACTGGATTTTTATTTATTTTTAAATTGGCATTTTTATTGTACGTTATACATTTGCATGAGAATGAAAAGAAACTGGAGATGAGCATGCACAATCGGCAATTATCAGTGGATTGTTGGTGTTGGCGGACACTTTGAACTAAATGCAGTGCAATGATTAAACGTACCAAGTAGCACCATTTATAGTTTTTCTCCTGATGAATTGTATTAGGGTAGAATATCTCAAGCTTAGTTTATTTCAAGTGTTACAGATTGCCTGTGTTGGTACAGTTTGACTAAAAGAAAAACAAATTATTCGATTCACATATTTTACTGGTAATATCTCAGCAATATCCAGAGCGCAGTGGTGAGTAGAATGGAAAGGAAGTTGAGTTTACCTCACCAGTCATTGACATTATTGAAATTTTATAGCTGAAGCATGTGAGAACTGTCAGGATAGCTGAATTAAGCATATAACTCATATCATATAATTAAGAATATAAGACTTCCCAAAAGAGAAAATCCAAAAATGGAACATAGAAAACAAATAAGCCTAAATTTCTCCCTGTAAGATATAGGGATTTTCTGAGGGCACATATCGAGTTGGGTGGAACACATAGTGAAAGGGCAGCATCCAGATTCAATTGCACTTTATTGGAAATGTTGCTAGGTGCAATCTTGAGCAGGAGAGGCTTGCTTTTGAAAGTGGTGCATAATCAGATTGTAGGAGTGGAATCGTCTCTAAGTACAGATGTACTCACAAGATGGATAGAAAGATTTTCCAAAGTATTGTGACCCAATGATGTAAAGCATTGTCATATTTTCCCTTTGATAAAATTAAAAGTGAGGGAGATCAGCTTCCGCCAGCAACCATGTATCCTGCCTTTTGAGGTTGCCACATTGTACTGGATCACAATCAGTTTTGATCTGTAAGCCCATGATTGCAAAGAACTGAATATTGTCCACTGAATCATTTAATCCAGCAGTCCAGAAGAGATTTGACTTTACGTTCTGGGATGAAAGTTCCTCATCTGATCACTGTACTACCTTATTCAATTATTTTTGTACTTCTAAAAATGTAAATCATCATATTTTATTTTGTGTAGATGAATAATATTTTTAGATGTTCATATTGATATGACTTTTGTACAGACCTGCATACTGTGTTGTAAGTTCTTGTTATTGATGAATTTGTTTCGATAGGTCTCCAAATTTTTAAATTGAGCCATCACAGTAACAGCAAGTTTGTTTCTACAGGTTTTCCATACGTACTCTAATGAAGACTATGATAGGAGAAATGATGACGTGGATCCAGTTGCTGCATCTGCTGAATATGAACTGGAAAAACGAGTAGAGAGGCTTGATCTTTTCCCTGTTGAACTTGAAAAAGGTAGGAGTAAGAACCTAGGTTTATTCTCAAGTTTTTGATCTTAGCTTAACTTTGAAAAGATGATGAATAGATGCTGGGTAGAAGATGTTAAGAAGGGATAATTGAAAATTGGTGCAAGAGATTAGTTTTATGACAGTCTTAGAGGAGGAATAGATGGACAGTTGCAAAATGGCATCCAACCATCAGTTATGGTGGGTCAAGCCACACTTTCATTCTGTGCTGGAAGTGAGCTGCTCATTTAATTGGTAAATGTTGATGAATAATCATATACAGACTCTCCTCTTAACCTTTAAATTTTTTTTCACGGGAGGTAGCATTTGTTGAACATCTCTAATATTCCTTGAGCAGGTGTTGAGGTGCCTTCTTGAATTGCAGTAGTAACTTTAGTGTTTGTATATGCAGAATTCTATTAGGATGTGAGTTGAGGAATCTTGATCCAGTCACAATACAGACATGGTGACAATAAAGTTTCATTTCAAGTTGATGTGTGCCTTGAAGTGGAACTTATGTCTGGTGGTCTTCCATAGGATCATTGCTCATGTCCTTCTAGGTGGTAGATGTCACAGGTTTGCAAGGTACTGTTGAAGGAACTGGTGAATTATTGCAGTGTACCTCGAATATGATGTATATCACTGTGTGCTGAAGGTGAAGGAAGTGAATATTTAAGCTGGTGCATGGGGTGCTGATCAAGCAGGCTGCTTTGTCTTGGATGATGTTGAGATGCTTGTGCATTCTTGGAACTGTACTCATCCAGGCAAGTGGAAAGTATTCCGTCACACTCCTGAGTTGTGCATTGCAGAGATCGTGCCCAGATTTTGGGAGTCAGGACATAATAAAATGGCAAAGAATTCCCAGCCTCCGACCTGCTTCTGTAGCCGTAGTCATTTTGTACTGCCCTGAACATAGGAATTTAATTTAAAATCCACTTTGCAGGTGTGTTATTTGAAGATGTACTGCTGATAGCTCCTGCTTCCCAGCCGAATTTGAATTAGATCATGAGGTCCAATATTGAGCGTCCCACTTGTTCCAATGTAAGGATAATTTTCATTTTGTCTCAGTAGACTAGCACTGTTCATTTTCCCCTGATATAGACTTGGTGGGCCAAATGGTGTGCTTCTGCTCCCAAGTCTTGTGGTTTTATGGACTCTGGCCCTGAAATGCAGTGAAACTCTAGTTCTCTATTCTGTCTTTGCTAAGTATCAGCTGTTGACCTTCAGATGATACAAATTGCAGAAAAACTTTATGTATTCCGTTCTGAAAAGGCATGGTATATTTATAAAAGGTTTTCCATGTAATTATTGAGGATTGTGAAATTCATTCTTGATGTTAGCATTAAAAATACAAGGTTCATCATTTTTATGTAGCAAAATTGTGTGAATGCTAGAATTCTGTAAAAAAAAACTGGAAAAGTGCAGGACATCAAGCAGCAACTGTTGAAGTCTGATGTTGTTGGGTTTGGCGCAGGATGGACATGGCAGTGGACAGAGGAGTATCAGACCAGCGGCAAAGATGGCGCCTGAGGATCGGCAACTTCAGTGTTCATTGGGTCACGTGTATGCGGCGGCAGAGCAGTTATGGAGGGACGGTGGTGCAGGCATCATTGGTGATGAGCTGGCTTGGGACTGACAGAGTGTCTTCAAGCTATATTTTTCTTTCCTTTTCCTTATTCTTAAATTATTCAAAACGGCGCCGTTTTGAGGCGACAAATGAAAGCTTTTCACTGTAATTTATTGGATTTTTACTGTCAAATACACGTGACAATAAAATCAAAACCAGAAAGAGAAATCTGGATTTTTCTGCTTTAGAGGTGGGGACATCATTGAAAAGGTTTGAAATTTCATTGGAACTACTCACCAACACTGCTGCCTATGGATTACTTCCTAAACTGGGCATGTAGCTGAGTTAATGCACTGAATTTTTTTCTGTTCCTTCAAGGTGGGGCGTTGTTGAAAAGGTATGAAATTTCATTGGAACAACTCACCAACATTGTCCTATCACTGGATTACTTCCCAAGATGGGCACGTAGGTTGTAATGGGAATCTGCATGGCAGCAGTTGGAAGCGACTTAAGGCTAAATATAAATCATTTATCTGCAATTATTACATACTGTGAGATTTTGCCTGGAGAGTATCAGCCCTCTGCTGGTCAGGAGAACAGCAGTGGATCAGGGTCAGCTTTACTGTAGGAAGCCTGAGCTGTGGGTTTGTTTTCCAGCAACAGAGGAAATCTACCTCCAGGGGTAATCCTCTGGTAGCCATTTGAAAGATTGATGTTTCCAATAAATCTTGCCTTGCTTCAGTGGCAACAGCTTACCTCCAACTGAAGGCTCCTCTGTAAGTTCCTGCTGATGGCCAGGTATTGTCCACACTTTTAAGTTAGACTGTGGCCATCTCCATGGATTGTGCTGATTGGGCCTCCTGACACTGGAAGCTAGCCACGATCTATCATTGGAGGTCCTTCCAGAGGAGGATTCTTATTTGTCAGCTCTGGGGAAGATTTGAGTCCATTGCCCAGCTACTTGCTCTTTCTGAGTTTCCAAGCTACTGTCATGATCAGGACACTAATAGCTAATTTCAGTGCAATGTTTCCACTTTCCACCAAAACTGCAATTTGCTCAAGATATAATAAACTTTCAGAATGTACAGAGAAGGGAATGTGGGTCAGAGAAATATTTAAAGAGAATGCCTACAGTAGGTTAAATATAAGTTTTAAAATGAATTCATGGGATGTGAGCATTGCTGATTGAGCCAGTATATGGTGTCCATCTGTAGTTGCCCTTGAGTTTATTGTGGTGAGCTGCTTCTTGAATCGCTGCAGTGCATTTCCTATGACTCACGATGCTGTCGCAGAGGGAGATCCAGGATTTTGACTCAATGGTACTGAAGGGATGGCAATTTGTTTCCGAGTCAGAATGTTGAGTGACTTGTAGGGGTACTTGCAAATGGTGATATTCCACTATTCCGTTTGACTTCATTCATCGCCTTAGAAGTATCAATAAAATAGGTGAGGTACTTTGTAGAGTGGTAGGCAAAGGTTTGTGCACAACACTTCTCACTTTGGTGGGATGTGCCAATTAAAGACCAGAAAATCAGTTTTTATTTCATACATCTTCTGGTGCAGTTATAGAAGAAAATAGCACTGACTGAAGCACAACAAATTTAAACACCGATGGTGCATGATCTGAGTAAAACTAAACGAGCATAAAGAAACATTGTTTTCTTAACTGGTTTATCAGCTATTTCTCTCCTGTAATTAATGATTCAGTTAGACTACATTTAACCAGTCTTCAACAAAGTGTTATGGACCAGACCAAACCCCCTCAAAATATATTAAGATAGCCTAGACCTTACCTTTAAAATAAGGAAAAAAGTTAAGTATAAGTGTTACATTCCAGGTGCAGTTCGACTGGCCACACTACCGGATTTGAAGCAAAACACACTTTATTAATGCACCTTAGTTAAAATACAACAAAAGAAAACGTAAAGAAAAGAATTGGCTTAGCTGGGACTTTATTGGAAAACTTAAGAAAATAATAGATTATTTTACTACTAAATAGTAACCATCACAGCCTCAGCAAAGGCAAGTTCAGAAAAACAGATTGTCTCACATGCAACTCCAGTCCAGGAGGAAAAGTATCAAGAGCAGATTTTGAGAGAATGTAGCAGGGAGAGATGTATTGCAGATTCCAAACCCTGCTGAGACCCAGCAACAACTGCTACTGAGAAACTAAAAAAAACTAAAAATCTTGGTTCTGTGAGAGCTTGACCACGTCTATTCAAGCTGCTTCTATTGTTCCAACTTTAAAACACGACCAAGACCTCACAAACTTTTTACTCTAGTGTCTCTGTGTAGACTGCTCGCAACCTCTGCCTTAAAAACCTCTCTTTTTAAAAAAAAGGACAAAATACACCTCTTAAAGCCATAGTATCATCATAAAAGATTTATTTAAATGTATCGTATTTAACAAAGGAAAGCGCTTTCTGTCACTTCCTACGTGCCATCTGGTCGATGAGCACTGAGCCAAAGAAGTGATTGAAGTCATAGAGTTAGATTTTAAAGAGGATCTTGTGGGAGGGAAGATTTAAAGAGGAAGTTCCAGATGTAGGGCCTAGTTGTCTGAAATCCAGTAGCAAATTGTGCAGCAAAAGAGGGGGAATGCACAGAGTCTAGAGATGATTAAGGCCTGGGTAGATGAAGGGGAGGATGTTAGAGAGTTTGGAGGAGCAATAACAGTTTAAAACATGTGGATAACCTTTATTTGGAACAGTTGGGAAATGGAGTAATGAATGATTGGCACTTATGTAAGATAGGAAACAGGCAAAGGAGACTTGGTGAAGCCGAAGTTATTGGAGAATGGAGACCAATCAAGAGAGCTTTGTAAAAGTTGAGTAGAATGGATTGGGCAGAGTTTCAGAGGTAGAGAGGATATAGGTTTGTAAAATAACTTCACGGTCGAGTGGGATACCAAAGTTATGAATTGGCTGGATAGGCCTGAAACAATGGCTGTGTGAATTGGATTCATTCGTAAGGTTTTAGAGTGGACCTGCATATTGCCAGCTTATATATGGAAGTTGTTGCTATAATTTCTCGTGGTATTGCTCAGGTGACAACATATCCATAACAATGAGGCAAGAATAAATCTTTGCTGGACTCCACAGAAAGCAATCCATATCAGCTCCATAGATGAGCCATTGTTGCAGGCATTCTGGTTACAATCTAGTAGAGTGAAACCAAGCAGAAACATTTCCACTGAGCTAAACAAAAGAGAAATGAAATATAAACAAAGTCCTGGAGCAGGTCTGATAACATTTGTGGAGAGAGAAACAGTTAAAATTTCTAATCCAGTGACTCCTATTCAGAACTGTTCTCAGAAGAGTCATTGAACTTCAAATGTTACCTTTGTTTCTCTCTCCACAGATGCTACCAGGCATAATGAGTTTCTGCAGCGCTTTCTATTTTTGTTTCAGATCTGCATTTGAAGTAGCATCTGCGGTATTTTG